TACCATCAGAGGCTCATTACCAGAGATAACACCCAGGTGCGATTTGAAGTCAATCAAATGCTGAGTGGGTGAACCCTTCCCATCAAACGGCGTGAAGTTAATTAGACTGAACTTCGCCGGATAGGGGATTGATTCCCATTCTCGTGGGTATGGACAAGGAATGCCCGTCTTCTTCATCTCTTGAGCGGAAATCAACGTATTGATTTTGCTCTCAAGATTTTTAATCTTCAGGTTTTCACCTGAGTCTTCATCAGCATTCTCGTTACCACCCCCTGCATTGATGGGAGGATTATTGGCGTTATGGGTTTCATTCGCACCTGTGTCCTCATCCTCCAGATTGTTCTGGTTACGATGACTTGGTTCGCCTTGTTGGTTCCTCAATGCCTGGATTTGTTGGTCATGCATCTCTCTCATAGTTTGCATGGCCATTTGCATTTCGAATTTGAAGCTCTCTTGCTGTTTAGCCATGGCTTCTTCGAGCATCTTGGCCACTTATTCCGCGCTTATCATTAGCGACTCGCGGGGTTCCCCCTCACTGGATACTGTATTATCTGATGCGACAGCAGAGCAGGAATCCGATTTTTCATCTTCTGAAGGTAATCTTGTCCGAACCCTACCATAAGTTCCTCGTGCGATGGCTCCAGACTGCAGACGGGTTAGACGCCGGGATGCTTTCAGAATCGACTCGAGATTATCCCGTGCCGATGTCCCTTTGTTGGTCATATTAGTGGTGACCCTCGGAAATTCTCCATCCTCGACTACCCTTCTTCTTTGTCGGAAACGCCTAGGCCTTGGTTTTGGCGTTTCAGTGCTGAGCCTTTCAAAAACCGAAATTCTTTCGGGGACCATCTCGATGCAATTGCATTCAGACAATACTGCCCGAATGAGCTTGGAACAAGGGCATTGAGTTTCTAGTCCTCGAGGACTCCTCTTCCTGGCTTTGCTCGTACCCCCAGCATGATAGTACAGCTCGTCCGTTTGAAAGTCAGAGCAACCTATCGTGTGTTGGCACGATTTCTCAGGTATAACATAATCATCATCAGACGATAACGTTTCCTTCTGAGAGCGAATTACCTTCTTCGGACTTTCGAGAGTCACGCGCCTCGAAACGCGCCTTTGTGGGCGTGAATTCTCAACAGGCTCCTGGACTTCAATGCGCAAGGTAGTGCGCTTGGGTGTCATGATTTATTTGTCATGTTGAGGGTTGCGGCGACCCCCAGCATGTTGATTCGTTCGGGACTTCTTCATTGGCCCCAAACGTTCCTGGACTGGAGCTTTGCCTCGTTCCTTTGGAAGTGGACCGAGGTGCTCCAAAACCGACTTCCTTTTCTGGGACGATCCTGCGGAATCTTCTGGAACAGTCGTGGAAATCATCGACGGTTTGGATTGATTCGCCGGAAGTTGAACTTTCGACGGCTGCAGTTGACGCTCTTTGGTCTGAACCGCCGCTTCAGACTTCGGCCTCCAAACTTTGCTGGTTGATGGCGGCTTCTTGGCCACCTCTTTCTGCAACTTCCTACGGGCTTCTTCAGCTTGAGCCCGTGCCTGCGCTGATAGTGCGCTCCTCCAGCGTTGATTGGTTCCGTTTGACACGGACCCATTCCATTGTTGGCGGCTTGGAGGAACCACCATTCATTGATGGTTGAGGCTGCTTACTTCTTTTGTTCTTCAGATCCGCGTTGTAGCGGATCCCGTCAACGGACTCCATGGCCTTTGCGAACTGTTTCGCAAGGCGTTGACGTTGCCTTTGGCGGGCTCTCTTCGAGAGAGTCACCACGCCCTCTGCGGCAGAAGGGTTGGCCAGAGCAGCTCCGACCTGGTTGGGATTTGGAGGAATTTCACCTGATGCGGCTTTGGCATCAAACGGGGCGAGATCTTCGTTGGTGTTTTCAACGTCTTCATACCAACGAGTTTTTCTCCTGGAGGAGAACTTTTTGGACTTGCGGGGGGAGGTTGATCCGAACGAGGACGACAAGTATTCCTCGAACTTCTACTGATCGAACTCGTATTCGACCTCCTCCACGACCGGGATTGAGATCCGCGGCTGCGACGCTCCGATCTCGGCAGCGAGATCGATGGCTCCCACTGTGGTCGCCAGATTGTTCGCGGGAAAAATCGTGTCTTTCTTCATTATTGATTCCATTGCTATCTTATAAGATCCGGTTACAACGAGATCAAAAAAGGAAATAAAAATTACAACTTTTCTCTTTTGTCGAACAAATCGCGAGCTCCTGTTTTGCGGTCACTCGCTTTGTGGGTTCTTCACCTGCGCCGGGGTTAATCCGTGGACCACCGCGGGGTTTATCCGTGGACCACCGCGAGATCTAGATCCGGTCGGATCTACGCAGTACGACGGGTATTATTTCACGAAGGAAATAATAGCCGGGGGGGATTGGTTCACCAAGGAAACAATCGCCCAAATCTCGGGATCAAAGACCAAGCTTTGATCCGGAGTATGCCTGCGTAGATCTGAGATCCGGTCCTCTCGAACTCTTGCCTTATTTGGCGTTGACGATCGCCGAGCACCAGATCTGGATGAGCAAGTCCTCAAAGTCCTAAAGCTTCAATCTTTTTTAGATCTGAGTCTTGAATCCAGCAGAGCTTCGCCTCCAAAAAATTCCAACCTCTGAACAAATGAACCAAGCCCCCTATTTATAGGCACTCTGAACTGTGCCCGGGCACAGATCTGGCCGGCCACCTATAGGTGGCTCGGCTCTGGGCCGGCCACCTATAGGTGGCTCAGCTCTTGGCCGAGCCACCTATAGGTGGCTCGGTTTTGGCCGAGCCCCTATAGGTATTTGGGTTCCGTCTTTCGGTTCTGTTCGTGATTCGGTTGTGTGGTTGATTTAGACTCTGATTCGTTGACCTGATTTGGCAGTAAATCTGATTCCTGATTTGGCAGTAAATCCACTTCTGAGTCCGAGTCCGAAACTGATCTTGGTTCGATCGTGATTCGTCCGAGTCTACCCTTGGTTGGATGACTCGTTGACTCTTCGAACCCGTTAGCTTGATTCCGCACGTGAATGGATTTATTCCGTTGCTTGCGTGCGATTCGTTAACCTCGTTGCCTCGTTGGTTCGTCGGTTCGTGCTGAGCCGTATTAAGGGACCTATAAACAATTTTATACGCCTACAAGTACTTATTAAATTTGCTCTCCATTTGAAAAATCATAGGTCCAAAAGTATCATCCATACGATATTTCCCAAAAAAAATTTAAATATTTAAAATTTGTAAAGCAGCTAAAGTAATGGTTGGATAATAACAGCCAGATAATAACATTGTAGCATCATAAAAAACTTGTAACATTTTATTTAGATTACATATAATTATCCATTCATCTTCAGTTATTCCATAAGTGCTACCAGAACTAGAACTAGAAGCATAATAATTTATAAAATCAGTTATAATGTCTTTATATTCTATTGCTACACTTAACATTGCACAGGTGGAATTCCACCTATGGTCAACATCTTTTGGAATTAGTCTGGGCTTTATATTTTTTCTTTTACAAAATTGTTTCCATCTTTTAAGTCTTTGTTCAGAAGCATTATGCATATAAGCAATTGTTCTAACCTTTTCTATCATGGGTTTAATTTCAGTAAATGTACTTTGAATAATTAAATTTAAAATATGACAGATACACCTAATATAAAAAAGATTACCATAACATGGCAATGACAAAGTTGATCTGATAAAATCAACAGCTACATTGTTATTACTTGCATTATCTAGTGAAAGAGAAAACATTCTTTCTGAAATTTCTAATTTCATAAGTTCTTCAATTATTAAATTTGCAACATTAATACCAGATGTGACTTTTCTATTGCAATAAAAAAAACAACTCTTTTAAACATTTGTCAATTTTCATCAATCCAGTGTGCTGTGATACATAAATATCCAGTTTGTGCTCTAGATGTCCAAATATCAGAAGTTAAAGAAAATTTACAGCTTAATTTTTTAAAATAATAAATTATTTTTTCTTGTTCCTCCTGATAATATTTTAAAATACCACGTTGACAGGTTTGATGAGAAAATTTTTTAAATGCAGGATAAAAACCATCTCTAAACATATCTTCAATATTTTAAAATATCACGTTGACAGGTTTGATGAGAAAATTTTTTAAATGCAGGATAAAAACCATCTCTAAACATATCTTCAAATTCATCATCTTCTACTAATAAAAACCATCTCTAAACATATCTTCAAATTCATCATCTTCTACTAATTTAAAAGGAAGGTTTTTAAATTGACAAATGTTAAAGAAAATTTCCTTGTTCCTCCTGATAATATTTTAAAATACCACGTTGACAGGTTTGATGAGAAAATTTCCTTGTTCCTCCTGATTACGCATTTCCTGGCTCTGGTAGCGTCATAGTTCCAACTACCGAGACTAAATATATTTAGTCTGGGTGAGGTTTTGTTTTGTTTTTTGTTTTTTGTTTTTGTTTTTTGTTTTTGTTTTTTTTTTTTATTTTATTTTTTTTGGGGGGGGGGGTTGTGGAGGGGTGTGTGTGTGGGGGGGGGGCGCATAAGGAATAATATAAGCTCGAAGAAGAATTGCTTTGGTTGCTAGCATATATGTGGTATGACAAATGAGAATGAAGTCATTTCTAAGAACTTAAAACTGATATACAGATATAACACGTTAGGTTATTTTCTCCTTGAAAACTCGGTTAAGTAGCGGATAAAATGTTGGGTACTGCTGCCAATAGGAGATGGTGTGCACATTTCAATAAACACCCAAGGTTCCTCTGAAGAGAATTGCTTTGGTTGCTAGCATATATGTGGCATGACAAATGAGGAATGGAGTCATTTTTAGGAACTTAAAACTGATATACAGAGATACACACATCAGGTTATTTTCTCCTTGAAAACACAGTAAAGTGGAGTGGACAAAATGTTGGGTGCTGCAGCTGCTGCCG